AAAACCACATTGGAGGTGTTGACGAGACCTATACGATGCCAAAGATTCCGTCAATTATCGGTAAAAAAAAAGTCTTTTGAAAGCAAGCCTAAATGAAATTGATGCACACTACTCATTTTATTGTGTGAACTTCATACATATTTGCCAGGAGAGGTGGATAGGACGATTGTATTCGTTGATAGTTTTAATGTTAAATTGAGAAGAATTGCACCATCACACCGAACTTAAGGCTAGCTTTCCCACACTTAACAGAGCGACCTAAAATGAAAAGAAATCCTTTGTTAAATTCTACCTGTTGTTCTGAAATATACTCACCACTTCATATAAACATAATCGTGTACTGGATATGGCCGTAAAAAAATCGGAATTAGCCAGCGTCTTCTGTTGAGATGAACCAACGATTCTCTTTCTCATCTACTTTAATACGAAATGAAGGTTACTTGAAGGATTTTATCCCAAGAGCGTCTTTGAAACCCAGCTACTCTTCGCATCTACAAGGATAATCTCTACAGAGATTAAGATTTGTCTCGCCCTGGTTGTGTTGCTAAGAGAAATACAATTTACTAGATCTAATTCACTGTTACGCACAATTCAAGCTTCTTCGCATACAAGATTGGCTATAGGCGAAACTTGGCGTAGGCCTTATCAACGCACAGAGACAGGGTTCGAGCTAGTGGCATGCTGATAAAGCTAAAAATACATCAGCCACCTCTCCTCATGACTATGGCTTAAAGAAATGCAGCTTGAGGGCTGAACATCGTTGGTAAATTTATTCTTGGGACATGAAAAGTCTTTAACGTTATACACAGATCTTTCATTAAAATGAATCACATTTTCTCGGGGTTTAAAAGATACTACTCGTGACGAATGACAGGGGAAACTTCATCTTGCAATTAAATGTATTTTTCTATTCACCTCAAGAATCTTCTTATCTAGGACTGATTGCAGGTTTGGCTTTGCATCACCATCTTCAAAAAGGGGTTTGAAGTGTGAATATGCGGGTTCGGAGGCATTACGCATACCAGTGGACTGGACAACCTTGTCCTCCTAGAATTGCAACGAAGGTATGTTTTAAGGAGTCATGGTT